ACAGAGAGAGAGAGAGAGAGAGAGAGAGAGGGGGAGGGAGGGAGGGAGGGAGAGAGAGAGGAGAGAGAGAGGAGAGAGAGAGAGAGAGAGAGAGAGAGAGAGAGAGAGAGAGAGAGATTTAGAGAGAGAGAGAGATGAAAAGAAAGAGAGAGAAGGGAGAGAGGGGGGAGATTGTTTCGAAATACTGTCAAAGGAGAGTGAGTGAGAGGGGGAGAGAAGGAGAGAAAGAAAGAACGAAACAGAGAGAGAGAGAGAGAGAGAGAGAGGAGGGGAGGGGGGTGAGGGAGGGGAGGAGAGGAGAGAGAGAGAGAGAGAGAGAGAGAGGAGAGAGAGAGAGAGAGAGAGAGAGAGAGAGAGAGAGAGAGAAGAGAGAGAGAGAGAAAGGAAAACAGGGAAGAGAGAGAGAGAGAGAGAGAGAGAGAGAGAGAGAGAGAGAGAGAGAGAGAGAGAGAGAGAGAGAGAGAGAGAGAGAGAGAGAGAGAGAGAGAGAGAGAGAGAGAGAGAGAGAGAGAGAGAGAGAGAGAGAGAGAGAGAACGACGATAGTTAACAAAATGTTTAAAAAGGTAGAAATGCAGAAAGTCAGATGTACAGATAGATAGATCGATAGGAATGGGTATATAAATAGACAGATAGATAAAAGACCGAGAGATGGATAGACAGATAGACAGAAGTAGATAGACCTACCGACAGAAGTAAATAGTAAATAGACAGATGATAGACTGACTGATAAATAGAAGTAAATAGACAGACTAATTTATTTACTGACAGACAGACGTAAATAGATGAATAAACAGATAGATAGATATACAGAAGCAAATAGATAAATACAAATAGATAAATACACAGAAAGACAGAAGTAAATAAATAGACAGATAGATAAAAGGCAGTTAGATAGGCTGACAGATAGATAAAAAGGCAGTTAGACAGACAGATAGATAGATAGGCAGTTAAATAAACAGATAGATAAAAAGGCAGTTAGACAGATAGATAAATAGGAAGTTAAATAGATAGATAGATAAAAAGGCAGTTAGACAGATAGATAAATAGGAAGTTAAATAGATAGATAAAAGGGCAGATAAATAGATAGATAAAACGGCAGTTAGATAGATAAATAGGCAGTTAAATAGACAGATAGATAAAAAGGAAGATAAATATATAAATAAAACGGCAGTTAGATAGGCAGGTAGATAAAAAGGCAGTTAGACAGAGAGATAGATAAAAAGGCAGTTAAATAAACAGATAGATAAATAGGAAGGTAAATAGATAGACAGATAAAAAAGGCAATTAGATAGATGGATAGACAGTTAAATAGAGATAGATAAAAAGGCAGTTAGACAGACAGATAGATAAAAAGGCAGTTAAATAGACAGATAGATAAAAAGGCAGTTAAATAAACAGATAGATAAATAGGGTAGGAAGTTAAATAAACAGATAGATAAAAAGACAGACAGACAAACTGACAGACAGACAATGCACTCACCCCGCACGCCCAGTTTGCTCCATGTGGTTGGCGATGGTGACGTCATTGCTCCACACGTCGAACTGCCACTTGCGAACGCCGATGAGACCCGAGAGGACGCTGCCACTGTGGATGCCGATCCGCATATCCACGTTCACGGCCCGTTCCTCTCTGTGGGGGGATGGGGAGGGGGTGGTGGCGTTCAGTTGGTCTGTATCTATTTACTTATTTGTTATTTTCAGCAACATTATTTTTATTCATTTTTATCTATTTATTTTATTATTTTTATTGTTTATTTTATTATTTTTTATCTATTATTATTATTTCATTTTATTTTTTTTATTATTTTTTTGAGGGGAAAGGTTTTATTTTTTATTTATCTTTTTTTTTGGGGGGGGCTGACTTTTCCTAGTATGGTCATCATTAGGAGGAATGTCTGTTTTTTCTGCATTAAGTGGATTATCATTATCTTTCATAATGCTTATATAATGATCCTGTTAGTAATGATATCAAAAGCAAGAATAAAATGAGGATGATATCAATAGCAGTAATTGTAATAATGATAACAATGCAACCACTTCTACTAACACTACTATTCATGATAATAATAACTATAATAACTATAATAATAACTTTGTCAATAATAATAACAATCTTAATGATCATAGAAATAATGATCATGAAAATCATAATTTCGATGGTAATATTGATGAGGATAATAACAACACTAGTGATATCAAAAATGAAAATGATAATGACATTAATAAGGAATAATAACAATGAGGATGACAATGATGGTTCTAATTTCAAAGATGTATATAGTCACTGAAACATGTGTTTATATATTCTCATATTCTTAAAGCCATAGCAATATAGCAGAATTTTATGTTATAACAAATAAAGTAAATTATAATAATCATTTACAAATAGGTTTGTTTGTTTAAATGTTAACGAATCATTAAAAGGAAAGCAATAAGTTTCTCGTCAGACGTGTTGTTGCTCTCCTCCTCTCCTCCCGTATACAGGTAGGCTCAGTGTTA